CCCCCCTTCCCCCCGCAACTGTTTGTCTCCCCCCCGTTTCCCCTCTCCCATCCATCCTTTCCCACCCTCGCCCGTCTGCCGCACCTCCCCAGACGCCATTTCCCCCCTCTCACCCTTCACCACCTTCCCCGCCAACCTTTCTTCCCCTCAAACCCTCTATCGGACTGCCTCATGAAACCATCCCCCACCCCAACTGCTCATACCCCCACCGCGGTTTCCACCCTCCCATCCTTCACCGCCGCCTCCTCTTTGCACTCCTCCCTGTCCCCCCCCACATGCCCCCCCACTCTCCTAGCGCCTGCATCAAGCCTCACCCCCCTCTACCCTCTGCCGCACCAGTCCAACCCACACTAAATCACATGTAAGCACCAAGCGAGCATCTGCACGAGAATACCATGGCTCCACTGATGCTCCGAAAGAACTGTGGTGGTTGGTTATGATGGATGTCCACACGACAAACACGTAGGAGAAAGGTGCACGCTAAGGAGAATGGTGGCTGGTAGTAATGGATATCAACAGGAAAACAATAAAAAAGGGTCACACCTTGCAACCGCCTCCAAGACCACAGATGGTTTATATTCAGTGACGTCACCAGCACTGCAAGTGCTGGAGCAGCGGCACGTCAGGCTCAGTCGCAGTGCGGCAGCACAACCAGCCCTGCTGCACCATCAAGGGGTTGACGATACTGTGCACAAAAAAGTACCAACCCGTCGGGACATCAGAAAGCAGCAGAAGGAATTCACGAACACATCACCACACACAGAAGCACCAAACACAGCAGCACTACACACAGCAGCCCTCCTCTTCCCCAACTGACGAGGAGCGGACAGCAAAGGTAGCAGCACAGAGAAAGATGAGACAGGCAGCGGCCCAAGGCATGCATGCAAGACACAAAGAGAGAGAGAGAGAGAGAGAGAGAGAGAGAGAGAGAGAGAGAGAGAGAGAGAGAGAGAAGAGAGGATGCTGAGACAGAGACACGAGAGGATGGTGCGAGAGAGAAACATGCTCAGCCGGAAGAGAGGAGGGAGAAAGAGCGGGGGAAGGCAAGTAGGACAGAGGTTTGTGGTCAGGAAACGCGTGAGATATGCGCCACACACACACAGCAGCAGGAGAGAGTGAGAGGCTGGGGAGGGAGAAACAGAGACACACAGAGAGAGAGAGAGAGAGAGAGAGAGAGAGAGAGAGAGAGAGAGAGAGAGAGAGAGAGGTGGGTCCCCAACGGCCGCAGCACCCAGATTTAACCAGGTCTTTTCACACCAGAAGGTAGTCCGGTGAGCCGGCGAAGTCTCAAACACCTTCAAAAACAAAAATGATGAGAATGATCGTGATGATGGAACGACAGCGACGATGAAGATCGTGATGATTAGGATGGCGACGCCGATCATGATGACAATGATGCCGATCACGCCTTCAGAAAAACCAACATCATCCATCCCGCGGTGCCGCCCAAGTTGAGGTGAAATAATAACGACGATGATGATGATGATGATGATGATGATGATGATGATGTGATTCCTCCACCTCCCACCCTTCCTTCCCCAAAACTCTCACCGGACCCCTCCTCACCAAAAAATTCCAATCCACATTATCCACTTCACAAATAAAAAAGTGCAGATTCATGCAGAGGTGGGCACCACGATGCTACAACCATTAAACCGTAAAAAAGAAAAAGAAAAAAGAAAAAAAAAAACAAAGAAGAAGAAAAAGAAGAAGAAGAAGAGGAAGAAGAAAAAGAAGAAGAAAAAGAAGAAGAAGAAAGACAAGGTTGGGTTCTTTTGGATGCCTGGGGTGCCCAGAGAAGCCGAACAGCCGGGCAAACTGGACGGATGACGGTGCCCAGAGAAGCGCTACGGCCGGGCAGACTAGACGGATGACCAGCTGGGTGGATGTATTCCTGATTCAATCAGAGGCACAAAAGGACGAGAAAAAAGAGGGTATATATATATTGTCACACTGTGTGTATATATCGTCACAAACAGAACTGCCCGGTAAACCGTAGGCAGAGAGAGAGAAGAGCACAACAAACGAGGGGCTGTGACAAACTGTTTCGTCGGAGTTTCACCGACTCATCAGGAGGCTGTATATATATAGTCAAATGTATATATATATATCGTCAAATAGAACTGCCCGGTAAACCGTAGGCAGAGAGGGAGAAGAGGACAACAAACAAGGGGCTGTGACAAACTGTTTCGTCGGAGTTTCACCGACTCATCAGGAGGCTGAATATATATATCGTCACAAACAGAACTGCCCGGTAAACCGTAGGCAGAGAGAGAGAAGAGGACAACAAACGAGGGCTATATCAGTATATCGTCATGGAGAACTGCCCGGAGACCCATAGGCAGAGAGGGAGAAGACAACAACAAACGAGGGGCTGTGACAGACTGTTTCACATTCATCAACTCATCCTCACATATCTATGAAGCAAAAGTGCACACTTTGCGGGAAAAGAAAGAGAACATAAGCACGCGCTAAAAATAGACCACACTGTATGTCGTCATAAGCAACTTCCCGTAAGGTAAGATCGTTCGTGTTGCGATGCAACAAGCTGCAGCGAGTTCGTTCATCACACATGAACTCGAACTCCGCATTCGAGCACTCGTCGGTCAACTGAAATGCTCTCGATAGAGAGGGAGAAAAAAAATTAAAAAATAGAAAAAAAGACAGAGAGGGAGAAGAGAACAACAAATGAGGGCCTGCGACAGACTGTTGCGTCGGGGTTCGTACGTGATGGCATTTAAAAAAAAAAAAGGCAGATAGTGAGCGGGAGGGTCAAATTGTCGAGGACCTTCTCGGACAGACTATGTTTAGTGGACTTCCAGTGCTCGGCAAGATGTCATAGCCTTTTGTTCTTTTTTTTTGTGTAATTTCTTTTTTTCCAGAAACTTTTTTGCGATCATATACATGTAAGTTGATGTAACTCTTTTCAGCAAAAGAAAATACCGAAGAGGTTCACAAAAAAAAAAACAAAAAAAAAACAGAAGAAAACAAGGACTGCACCAGAAGACAGGCAAAGGAGTTGAAAGGACTTTTTTTTTTCTCTCTCACGAAAATGGGGAGGGACAAATGCCACAAAGCGACACAACATCGAGCAGCAGTAAAAGAAAGAAAAGACTAGGGGGGGAAAAAAACACAGGAATGAAACAGAACAAAAGGGAAATAATTTCAATAAACAGGGAAAATAACAAAAATAGGAAAAATGAAAAAGCAAAAGAAAAGAAAGAAATAAGTTTAAATAAAAAAAGGCTGATCAGAGTTCTGGTCATTGGGGCCCTTCAAATAAATAAATGGCCCTTTTTCTATCAAAAAAAATGGGAAAAAAAAAAGGAAAAAAAAGGGGAGAAAGGGGGGGGGGAAGGGAAAAAACAGGAAAAAAAAAGGTGACGCTGCGGGCCTATCGGTTCCTGATATCCTTTTTGGAAGTTTTTGCACATACTTTGGGACACTGGACCTCTTTGAAATGCATTCACCTTTTCCTTTTTTTTCCACTTTTTTTTTTGTTTTGTTTTCTTCAAAAAAAAAAAAAAAAAAAAAAAAAACCCTTAAAAAAAAGGCAAAAGAATAGAGGTCTCCTCCTCACCTGATGAGTAGTGTGCAGTGGATTTAGATACACTCGAAGGGGGTCTATCATGGAGGCGGCCGTGGCGATCATGTGTGGCGACGATTGGTGATGATGCTGATGATGCTGATGATGGTCGTGGGCGTCGAACAAAGTACCCGCTGCCGCTGGAACAGCTGTGACCGGGATGGAGAGCGACATGTCCAGCATGCCTAATGGCATGCCGCCAGCTGTTGCTGACATGGCCGCCGCTGCCGCAGCACTCGGCAACGTCGGATGATGAATCTGCATTCCGGCCGGCAGCATCGCAGGCGGGACCACAACACCAAACCGCATCGACATCATCTGTAGAGCACAAAAACCAAAATGGAACAGACAAGACACAAAAAGGTTAAAAAAAAATAAAAATAAACATGGAGTTCATAAACATAGAAATAAAAATAAACATGAAGTTCATAAACATAGAAATAAAATAAAAATAACAATAATCATAATTAAATCATAATTTCAATAATCGTTGATGCTTAACCACAACCGGGGTTAAGGAAGGTGGATCATTATCACTTTCAGTGTAATCACTTAGGTAGGGGATTCTGCAGACTGTTGAGGCTTCAGCCTCCTCCTGATGAGTCAATCCGTGAAACTCCGACGAAACAGTTTGTCACAGCCCCCCCTCTTTTGTCGTCCTCTTCTCCCCCTCCCTATCTGCTGCCGGTTTACCGTAGGCAGCTCTGTTTGACGATATATATAGAGTCCACCCGCAGTCACAGAGCAGGTAGCGTCTAGAGAAGACGGAAATGCTCTGGACTGAAACAGAAAAGAAAAAAAAACAGATGCCTAGACTACCGGCCGTGCCGTCCAGGTCGCCTTGTTTGCCTGGGCGGCCTGGCCATGCAACGGCCAAAGAAGCTCCCAGCAAAAAGGGGAAAAAAAAAAAGAAAAAAAGAAAAACCTGAAAAAACCTAGGCTACCGGAGTGGCCCAGGGTCACTTGCCCGGCCGGGCCAAAAAGATTAAAAAATATATATATATATTGTCACATTGTGAATCAGAGCGCAAAAAAGGGAAAAGAAAAAAGGAAAAGGAAAAAAGGGAAAGGGAAGGAGGTAAGGAAAGCTNATAAAGGACTCTCAATTCCGCCCTTGCCGGGCTTGCCCCCAAAATAAGCATTACTTGACAACTCAGACAGGTTGTCCACCTTGAAGGGCGCCTTCGAGGACACAACTCAAGTGTACCGCTGCGACTCAAGTGTACCGCTGCGACTCAAGCACCTCTCCAACTTAAGTACGGCTCCTCTCGCTCTCGCTCTTGCAATTGCTATTAGTTAGTAGTCTATATCCCTTCCCTTCTTTAGTCAAAGAAGAAACCGCGCGCGAACCACAAACGAACACTCGTAATGGTCACAGCGAAACTGATGATATACGATAAGTGCTCCTGCTACCATCCGACCGAGACCGAGAGTCGCGACCGGTTCTGGACATGATCGCTCGTAATGCTCACAGCGAAGCTCATAACAGACGATAAGCGCTCCTGGGGCCATCCTTTTTTTTTTTTTTTTTTTTTTTTTTTTTTTTTTTCAATAAACAGAAGAAGCTCCTGCTGCCATCTGATCGAGAGCCGCGACCAGTTCCCGATAAGACCAATCCGATAATATACAGAGATCTACAAGCCAGATCAATCCTGAACCCCTCAAAAAGGCCTCAGTTGCCAAAAAAGAAGCCTCCAAGCTTTACCCAGATGTACGCCGCCGCAACCCCCCCCTCAAAAAAAAAGAAAGAAGCCTCTGACTGCGTCGAGCTGCCAAGACGGGTCTCTTCCACCTTGTACTGCAGGTCTGACAACAAAACTGAAAATTGCCTGAGTCGAGCAAAAAGGGGGGGGGGGGGGGGTGCATGCTTCGTCAATTTGATGGATACCCTCTTTTCTTCACCCATAGCACAACGCACCCTACTCAGAAATGTATACAAGCTATCTTTACAGTCCGACGAGGATGTGTTGTGTTTGGATGAAGACAACTCACACACCCTCTTCAATGAATGCATACAAGCCATCTTTCCGGTCCGATACAGTCATGATGAGGGTGCGTTGTGTCCGGGGGACGACGGCGGACATCCATAGATCCCAATCATTGATAATTGGCACACCTGTGTTTTCCAAATTAGGAACGTCCACAAGAACAAACATACAAAAACCAGAAAACCCATTCTTGAGGCAACACGCCAGGGGAAAAAAAAAAAAAAAAAAAAAAAAAAGCCATTCAAGAATTTCAACGAGTCAATGCCATGCCTTCATCAAAAACGTCATCCAAAAACATAAGACAGCAGGAAAAAAAAAACAAAAAAAAAACAAGGGCTCGCCAAGGGGAAACTACCAAAATTACAGAGTGCCAAAAACGGCCTATCAGATAAGAAGCAATCAACACCCACCTTAACCCCTTCCCCTGGTAGTCGAACACAACCATAAAACCCATACTCTCTCCTCTACACACCCACTCAGCCATCTGTGTCGTCAACAAACCCAAAACTCTCTCCTCGTTCCATCCACACACCATCCACAACACACAGAAGGTATAGAATAGGCAAATGTAATAGAAGACGCAAGGTTGGCCAGGTTTGTGTGTGCGTGTGAGGATTTTGGAGGGGCGGGGATGGACGAGGTGGCGGTGGGAAGAACCGCGGGGGGGGTTGGGGGGGAGGATGTCAATAAGAGGAGAGTAGGAAATTGGGAAATCTTCCAGAATCTCAGTACAATCAAATGAAGAGATTCGCTATCGACACCCCTCCTCCACACCCCCCCCCCCCCCGCCTAGGAAAAAAGAAAACTAAGAAGCGAAAAAAAAGAACAATCGCGGGAAAAAAAAAGAGCGGGCAAGAAGCTTTCTCAGCCATTCCTCTCTCTCTCTCTCTCACACACACACACGCACACACACACACACACACACACATACACAGTATTACACACACACACGCACACACACACACGCACACACACACACACACACACACACACACGTCTCTTATACACATCTAGATGTGTATAAGAGACAGATATATATATTCTAAATTTGGTGAATAATTTCGATGTGACCCTGAGGCAAACGTTGTTCAGTTTATTTTCTTGCATAACATAGTTTTTTTTCGTGTTTTTTGGTTGTTTTATGTTTTTTTTTTTTTTTTTTTTTTTGGCTGGGACCTCCCTGGTCTTTGCACGGGCTGGCCACCCAGGACCTGGGCGGCGCGGCTGGTGGCCTAGAATTTTGTAGTATTTTGTACGTTTATTATTTTGGAAAAAAATTTGTACCACATGATGGGTGTGGTAAGAAGCAGCAATTATTGACTCGCACAGCATGAACAGCATGAATCCAGCACACACGACACCCCGACGTGAGACCGTCGATGTCCCACAACATGTCCGACAACACCAACGTGAGACAGTCAATGTCTGAAAATTGCGAAAAGAGTTCAATGAAAAGTCGCTCGTAGCCTGGTATAGCTCGTAACGACAGCCAAACGTGATGCGCAAACTCGGGCGAATCATCATTCGCGTCGACTCACGACGCACTTCCAGGCAAAGCACTGCAAAGCGCAAAAGGAGTAAATCCGACTGTCGGCCAGATCTTATAGACTTATACCCTTTGTCAAACTCTTCTCCAACTTTCGCCTAGGACCGACTGACCGAGGTCGCGGTTTCGTACTTTGGTCCTATGCACTTCATGCACTTCTTAAGTACTTACCGATACTCTAAAGCGCAAGCAGAAAGAATTGTACTTGTAGTATTGTACACTTATTACATGTAGTATTGTACACTTATTACTTTGACAATTTTTTTTGGGGGGGGAAAGGTTTGCAACAAAATCACAATTGCATTTCAAACAGCAGTTACAGCACGCTTTGATCAAAAAAAAAAAAGAAAGAAGTGAAAACCTGCCACTGAACTTGAGCAGCTCCCAGCACTTCTCTAATTAAAAAAAAAAAAAAAAAAAAAAAGACCAACCTGCAGCTGAACTTGAAGCATCTTCAGGTACTCGATTGCCTCGTCCAGCATGGATGCTTTGTCGGTCTGATTCCCAAAAAGCGACAGAGGGTACACAGACAAGGAACAACAGAAAAAGGTTAGGCTTTTCATCGCTATTTTGTAGTATTTCAAAAAAAAATTAAAAAACTTTAAGAAAGTGAAAAACAAAAAAAAAGGTTTCATAATTACTTTTTATTTAGTTATTAATAGTTATTACTATATGGTATTTCCAGCATGGATGCTTTGACAGTGCCTTTGCCAAACATCGACACCACCAAGACCGCAGAGTTGGACGAGTGTAAACAGACATGGTGGCGATCAGGGGTCCCCTGTATCGACGCTCAGGAAGTAAAGAGTAGTGGTAGGTAGATAGTGCAAGGTGAAATTAAGAGAATAATATAGCATAGTTAAAATAAAACAAGTAAAAAAAAAAAAAAAAAGAGTTGGCTTTTCAATGTTTTCATCACTATTTTAATACACAAGTAACACAACATCTACAACAGCCGACAACCACAAGTTCCCTATTTTAAGTTTTAAGTTTTTAACTCTTTTTTTAATACAACACAAGTTCGCGTGCACCAATCATAGCTTTCTTACTCCTACTCCTGCTACTGCTACTGCTTCCGCCGCTGCTTCTCCTACTGCTACTGCTTCTGCTTCTGCCACTGCTTCTCCTACTGCACGTGCAGGTAGGAGGAGGAGGAGGAGGAGGAGGAGTAGCAGGTAGGCGGAGGAGGAGGAGGTGGAGGAGAGGGTGGGATGCCAGGGATGGAGCTGGGGATAAACTTTGGTATCCTGGGTGCGCCGGCATTTCGTTTGGGGGTCTCGAATAAACACTTTGTGAGTATGCAGTACTGTGCACTCTAAAAATTGTCCATCGTAACGACAAACGTACCAGGGTACACACTTCCGGTGATGGGATGGCCAATCCGTTTCAACTTCCTTTACTGTACGCGGTGCCATGCCCAGAAGTGGTTAAGAAACTCAGCTCGTGAGGCGGACAGCTCCGCTTCGAATCCATTCGTGCACGGAGAACGTCCAAGGCCGGAAATAGTACTGACTGACTCTACCTTCGACTTGTTTCGGTTCGGTTTCGACTCACAAGGCACGTTACGATATACTGCCACCCACATTGTTGCGCTTGACTGAGGGCACAAGCGCACAACGACTTTCTCGGATGTATCTGACTGTAATTACGGCCAGCCCTGGATGTATCTGCCGGCAATTACGTCCACAGTTGAGTAGAAAAGGTCCCTCCGTCGTCACCCACATACAACGCCCCGTCATTCACGCTGTGTGTCCCTTGACAGACTCAAGGTTAAAAAGCCCTGGACAGCTAAACTGACCAGGCTTTTTATTCGCGGGTGAAGAAGGTGATACAAGCGTACCACTACGGATAGATAAGGCGGCCCGAGAGTATGCCCCCTGAAAGTTCATTAAATTGAGGCAAGTGGGGGCCATTACCAAGCAGCGACGATTCGTTGCGGAGAGCCGCCGCTCTCCGCCGCATGCATGGTGGTTCCGAGAGCGGGAAACTATTCCCCCCCCTCGGCGGTCATGCACGGTTCAGTGGGCGGGAAAATATGTGTCATGTAGGGTGTGGAGGGAGGGGGGGCGGAATACATTCCCTGTACGCCCGGAGGGCAGGAAAATACGGTTTGGAGGGGGGGGGAGGAAATATGTGTCACGTACACTTTGGACGGTTAGAGGGCTGAAAAAATGTGTTACATCTTTTTGAAAGAAAAGAGAGAGAGAGAGAGAGAGAGAGAGGAAGGCGGGAGAACACATGTCACGTACGGTGAACCTTAGTAAAACAGAAATTTGTGAAAGAAAAAAGAGTTAATCAATGAAAAAGAAGGGAAAACATAGTTTTTTAAAATAAATGAAAAAAAAGGGAAAAAATAGAAAATCAGGGCATACCTTGTTTGAGTTCGGTATTAATTCTTGCAGCGTCCTCATTTTCTCATTTATCCGGTCACGGCGCCTCTGAAACAGGTAAAAGGGGGGGGGGAAGAGGGAGGGAGGAAGAAAACATTAAATTTTATATAAAAATATCAAAATAAAATGAAAACATAAAAACAGGAAACAAGAATGTATCGCAAAGGTTGTCAGGACATTTATTGAGAAAATTTATAGACGAAAATTAAATAAACACATAAATGACTCCGGCTTGAACTGTGATGTTTCCCCGGTCTCAATTTTTTAGTTTGCAAAAAAAAAAAAAAAAAAAAAAGAAACACCAAGGTCTCAAGTCCTGCTGGCAGGAAACACGTTTTTTTAAGATTAACCATCATTATATTAAAACAAAATTCCACTACAGGCCGGGGACCTCACAAATCTACCCGGTGAAAGCTGGCTGGGGCCATTACCCAGCTTCGGCTTGATGCTGGAAACCAGGTCCAGCGTCCCATCAAAACATACAGGTCCCATTTCGAGGGGAACCCCCCCCTCAAAAAAAAAAACCTCTAATAGCCCATTGCGATCATCCCTACCCCTATAATAGCCAAACGGCCCCCTCCAAACTAGACCGAAAAAAAAAAAAAAAAAAAAAAAAAAAAAAAACCGAGAAATTTACCAAGAAAGGGAAACAGTCTCGACCAGCCCGTGGCCATAACCATAACCCACACAATAGCCGCAGGCCCTCCCATCACAATCACCCATCATGACTACTGATATACTAGCCACATGGTCCCTGCCCCCTCCCAGCACTGCCCCCCCCCCCCACCCCTTTTTACAATTTCCACCAATTCCAGAACCCCAAAAAGAAGCCCGAGTCGCGACAAATACGATGAGTCGCTTCCTCAGTGTTCCTCCACGGCGGGTACACGTCAAATTCACAAAATTATTAAAATTATTGAAATTACCGTGAGTCGAGCAATGGGCGTGGAACCGTTAAAACCACCAGTGTACTTCCGGCGCACTTTTCATCGATGCTCGAAACGCACTACACACCCCAAAACAAAAAAAACGAACTGGCGCAACTTGCTTCTGACTGGCCGCACCAGCCATCGTTCTGCGGTACCCGAGCTCCAAAAAACACGGCACAGCATGTCAACGCCCAGGACCAAAAAGAAATAGAGGGGCCAAGGACTGGTCGTGGTGTAAAAACTTCAAAGAACCTGTACCTTAACCCCCCAATTTACAAACCTCGCCACCGTCCAGGAAGACTGTCATTCAACGTGGAAACAGTGGCGGCATTTTCTGTGTACCAGCCTGCCAGCGCGAGGTCACATACGAAACATGATGGGCACACTCTCTCGGTCAGGGCGCTGCAGAAGCGCCCCACCCAAATACTGGTGGGGATTAAAACTTACACACAACTCTGGAACCCTCGCCACAGAACCGACCAATTAAGAAGCTCCCGCTGCCGCCACTAACTCTCCCACTGCTGCTGAAGACCCCGCCCCCCCACCCTACCCTACCCTCCCCTCTACTTGTCATGACACCATAGGCGCATTAAGCACCCACCCAGATCCACTCAAATC